CCCCCCCCCCCCCCAAAGATCCCTTGCAGGAGTCCTTAACTAAGAGATCCCTATGGGGTTAAGGGTTTTTGAGAGCTCTAAATCACAAAACTGAACCGCGCATGTGTCTCCCAATAATCATAGACTCATAGAGCTCTGCAAAGCCAGCCTGAGAGACCAGAAAGGGACATGATGCAGCCATATTTAGGAAGATGTCCTTATCGTCGCTAGACCTATAGCCATACCACGATGTGCACCGGAAGCCTAGTCAACTCGTTCAAGCCCCTGTATTGCAACCACAGCAGGGAGCACTAATTAGGGTTNNTTTAGGGTTTCGGGTTTAGGATTTGGCGTTTAGGATTTAGGGTTTAGGGTTTAGGGTTTAGGGGCCCCAAGAATCCTAAAGCGCCCATCGTGGGAGGAGAGAGGCTGGTCCCGCACCCCTGTGCCCTCTGAGCCCTACCTACGCAGGGTTTGGGGACCCCTGTACCCATATAGTATATAGTAAACCCTGTGAAAGTTGGAAACCGAATAAAGGACGAATAGTGCTGGGATTCCCTATGCATTGCTCTGAAGGATTGAGGCTATTGGGTTTCCAACTTTTTGGCTTCTACTGTATGCCTCGTCCCTACCAATTCCTTTTTTTTAGATAGGCAAGGCAGTCCTTTCAGGTCAACATGGACCCTTGCCCCAACTATGCACTCCCCGATATCCCTGAGCAGCCCTATGCGCACCCACCAAAGCCCCTCAAGGAACCCTACATCAGAAACTGTATAATAGGCGCTCCATGGTGCTCCCTGAAGCTTAAACTAAACCCTGAAACCTAAACCCTAAGCAATGAAACCCTAAACCCTAAACCTAAAACCCTAACACCCTAGACCCTAAACCCTAAGCCCTAAAACCCTAAACCCTGAAGCCCCTGAACCCTAAACCCTAATCCTGAAACCCTAGACCCTAAACATAAAACCCTAAAACTCTAGACCCTAAACCCTAAAACCCTAAGACCCTAGACCCCAAACCCAAAAACCCTAAACCCTGAAACCCCAAACCCTAACATCCTAAAACCTAAATTAAACCCCGACCCGCGGGGATAAGCCTTAAAGTTCCCGTAGAGGTACTCGCAATAGTATCCTGATGAGGCACGCCGTGGGTTCGGACTCACACTTCTGGCTTGGTGTCTTATAATTAGGGTCTTGGGTTTAGGGTTTAGGGTTTTGGGTTTAGGGTTTTGGGTTTAGGGTTTAGGGGTGGCGTAGGGCGTCTTTATGGGCTTTCTGGATGTCTAAAGGGCTGTATTCAAAGATTAGGGTCTGCGATTGTTGTTAAGTGCTAGGCTTGCGCGCTTTGCTTTCGGGTGTGTCGGTTTACTGTTGAAGCACAAGGTTGCTTCTTGAAACACCTTCCAGGACTCCCAGAAACCCTTTAATAGAGCCCTTATGGCCCTTAATAGTGGGTATTTAGGGTATGTTAGAAGGTAGTTGGGGGGTCCAGGTTAAAGCCCATCGAAAGAACCGGCCTAAGTCTGTATCCCCAAGGGGTCCATGTACCCAAATAGTATATACTTTGGCCCCAAAGTACCTATATAGGGACTACTTTTAAGGACAAAGTATATACTATTTGGGCACATGCACCCTTAGGGTATCTGATAGGAAGCTCCATCTGAGACCCTTTTGCCCTTCCCCAGTTTAGGCTTTAGGGTTGAGGGTTGTACTTGGAGGTCCATGGGACTTAGTAGGTACAGATGTAAGTACCTTAATTGGGGTTATAAGTAAGTATAGTTATACTTGCCTTTTTTATAGCCCTAGTTACTAAGCCCCATGAACCTTTTAAGTAAGCCATGCCCGTACATAGCGCAAGCCCTAGGAGCAGGAACCACAACCCTAAAACCTTAAGCCTAGCACCTAGACTCAACCATGTTAAACCCAAAACCCTAAACGCAGGTACTCCACAGCAAAGCAAAAGCCCTTTGCAAAATGCTGCCCCGAAACTGCGTGGTTCAGGGTTTGGGGTTTGGGGTTTAGGAACCCTAAACCCTAAACCCAACTGAGAAGCGATTGCAAATGAAATCTCTGAACAGAATACCCTAAAAGGCGACCCTAAAGCCTAAACTCTGAAGCTTTTATGGAACCATGGTAGAGCCGCCAAAGGAACCCTTAAAACCCCTTAGCCCTTCATTCCTAACCCTTTAAAGAACCTTCAAAGAAATCCTCAAAGTTGTTTGTTTTGTGTTTGTTTTTGTTTTTTTTGGGGGGGGGCATATAGGAGTTTCAGAATATAGGAGACCCTAATATAGGACCCCAAATAGTAAGATCCTAATTGTCAGGACGCCTATATAAGGTACCCAAGTTTTCTGAAAATCCTATATAAAACCAACCCTCAACCCTGAACCCTAAACCCTAAACGCTAAACCCTTCAAGGGACTCATGAAGCCGGATTAGAGTCCTCATAAAGGTCCAAGTCCCACACCCTAAACACACACACACACTCTCTCTCTCTCTATATATATATATACACATACATATATATATATATATACATGCATACATATGCATATATATATATATATAGGGTTTAGGGTTTGGGGTTTAGGGTTGAGGGTTTAGGGGTTGAGGCTGGCATTCCATGGAGTTTGGGCTCGGGTATGAAGCCGAGACTTTCGTTTGTCAAA